CACCCCGTTTTCCAGGGGAGGCAGACCAGGGGCTAAGCGAGTTTCAGCAACTTACCCAAAGTCACTCTACCAGTAAGGGGCAGAGCTGACACTAGGGCCCCTTGAAAACTTTCGTGCACAAGGGTTTGGGGTAGAGATCTGCTCTCGGATTTGCAAGAATTTCAGCCCTAAGCAGGAATGGCTGTCCAACTTCAACTCCACTTCTAATTGCAAACCGGGGGTGGGGGGAGGGGAGACTGGCCTACACACGAATCCTGTTACCGACACTGGAGATTAAACAAATGAGAGGTATTATTCCGAGGAATGGTTCAGGTGTTAATAGCTACGAGGGTTCCTCACCATGCTTGCTTTTTTGTTTTTTTAACTCTCTCTCTCTCTCTCTCTCTCACACACACACAATTTATTTTCTTGGTTTTTGTCTGACCTCTTGTGGCTTACTTTAGGTATTGCAGTTTCTGGTAATTAATTTTTGCAAAAGGCCCCTTTGTCGTGTTTCTAAGATCATTTCCTAAGATCAACAAATAGTTTGTCGGGGGAGAAAGAAAAGAGATGACCCTTCCTAACTAAGAATTTCAGTAGGAGACAGAAAACAGAGGGGGAGAATATCTTTGGAGAAAAAAATGGAAATTTCCAGAAGTCCAGAAAGGTTAAAACTTAAAGAGAAAATGGCATATAACCTTTAAAATGGGATAGAGAAGGAAAAACTCACACTCAGACACATTACCGTGAAATTTAAGACCATAAAGACAGACCATCTTTAAAGTTCCCAGAAGGAAAAAAAATGAAGTTCCCAGAAGGGGCGCCTGGCTGCCTCAATAGGTGGAGTGCATGACTCGATCTCAGGGCTTGTGAGTTTGAGCCCCATATTGGGTGTGGAGATTACTGAAAAATAAAATGCTTTAAAAAAAAGATCTTATTTATTCGAGAGAGAGCGAGAGAGAACCTAAGCAGGGGGAAGGGGAGGGGCAGAGGGAGAAGCAGACTCCTTGCAGTCCCCTGAAAAATAAAATGTTAATAATAAAATTTTCAGGAAAAAAAAATCAGCTAATAAAGAGAATCAGATTGACATGAGACATCTCAGTAAAAATACCAGATTCAAAATAATAATGGCTTAAGATTTTTGTATTGTAGAAGGTATATGAGTAGATAATAATTCAAATTTTAGATAACATCAGAAAGCAAGGGGGGCGGTGCGCCTGGGTGGCTCATTTAGGTTAAGTGTCTGCCTTTGGTTCAGGTCATGATCCCAGGGTCCTGGGATCGAGCACCGCGTTGGGCTCCCTGTTCAGCGGGGAGTCTGCTTCTCCCTCTGCCCCTCCCCCTGCTCGTGTTCTCGCTCTCTCACTCTAATAAATAAATAAAATCGTTAAGAAAAAAAAGAAAGCAAGGTGGGATTGATGATGGTAACAGTATGCTTAATAACAATTGATATATTTTAAATATTGTAGAGAAAAACAAAAATACAGGTCTTAGTAAGGTGTGGGTGACCACCAAAAATGTCTTTTATAAAAAAAAAAATAGAGCCTTCAAATTAGCATAGGTGAACTTGATCTATTCGCTGGAAAGCAGAAAAAGGGGGGGAGGGAAGGAGACAAAATGTATGGTAAATGGAAAGACTGGAGTTAAGATTTTTATCTTAGCTCGTGCTACTGTAACAAAACACCATGGATCAGGTGGCTTAAACAACAAACATTTTATGAGACTTTATTTCTCACGGCTCCAGAGCATGGGAAGTCCAAGATCAGGTGCCAGCAGGTTGGGTGTCTGGTGAGGGCCACGTCCGGCGTCCAGTGGCGCAAACAGCCGCCTTCCTACTGTGCCCGCCCAAAGGCTTTCTTGGTGCTTACAGGTGGAGAGAGCCCTCTCTTAAGGGTCTTAATCGCATCATGAGAGCACCACCCTCATGGCTTTTCTGTAAACCTAATTACTTCCCGGAGGCCCCACCTCTAAACACCATTGCATTGGGTGGGGGTCAGAGCTTCAACATACGGTGGGGGGTGAGGGACACAAACATTCAGCTCATAACAACGGCGGACATAAATTCCAAAAGAACAAATTATAATACATGTAAACGTATTGAACTCACCAAACAGAAGGCGAGAATCTTAACTTAGATCCAACAATATTTTGTCTACGGAAGACAGGGTTAACACAAAAGATATGAGATAACTTGAAAACAAAGGGATGGGAAATTACATACTAGGAAAGTATGAATGAAAAGAAAGCCAGGATAGCAATTTAACTATGAAGAAAAATATAATTAAAGGCAAAAAAGAAAGAGAAGCATTTCATATAAAAGAAATAGATTAAGATGATTATAATTATAAAAAGATAAACACCTAAAAGTATAACATTAAAATCATTAAAACAGGGATGACAGAATGATAGGGGCAAATCTGTACACAAACTATTGTAATTAGAAAGCGAAACTCTATTATATATTGAGTTAAAATGAGAGACTTTTTCTGTTTGATAGGTCAAATAGGTGAAAAATCTATAAAAATATTTGTTTTGCATGAGTTGTAATCTTAAATACATGGGGTGGGTCTTGAGAATGAACTTTAAAATGAATAGAACAATTCTCAAATGAAATATTCACAGAGTGTCCACCAAGGAAGCCTCAGAAGTTAAGTCAAACCACGTTATCTAACTATAACGCTCTACAGTTTGAATCGACATAAAAATAAAAGCTGAAATATATGTTTAAAAACAAATATGAACTACTGAATTGTTCTTGGATTGAAGAGGACATTTTTATACAAATTAAAAATACTTAGACCTGAACAGCAATAAAAATTTGCGGGATACCATTAAAATAGTACCATGAGCTAAAGTCATGGCTTTTATATATGTATACTTATTAGGAAATGTGAAAATCAGCCAGATAAACTCAAAAAAAAAAAAAAACAAGTATAAAAAATCACTGAAATCAAGCATAGCGATCTAAAAACAAGATTAACAAAACTAAAAGCTGGCTCTGACAGGACTAGTAAGATAGATAAAATTGATTTAAAAAAAGGAAGGCAGAAGAGTGAAGAAGGAGGTATGACTACAGTCACAACAGATTTTTAAAAATAATATTATGAACTATATGTCAATAACTGCAAAAGTTTATATAAAATTGATAAATTCCTGGGAGAACAAAGAATGTCAACACTGGCAAAAATAATTGAGTAAACCACTAAGCATTGAAGATACTTAAATAGTAATGAAAGATTCCCTCCCCTCTTCACCAGAGCTTCAAACTCACTTTTGTATAAGAGTACTAATAAATTTTCAAGCATCAGCTCATCCTTACCTCACAGAGTTGTAGCAGAAAAGAGAAAAAGGAAAGCCTGCTTCATTTACTTCATATGATTAGTATACCCATGATTCAGTAAATTACAGTTCTGTTTGGCTTATGAGTTTTAACGCAAAAGTCTTAAATGAAGTGTTAACTTACTAAATCCATCAGTTTATTGAAAATAATACAGCATGATCAAGTGAAGCAATGGAAGGGTGGTATAATATCAGCAATTTTATTAATCTAATTCACCTCTATAATGGAATGAAGATAAAAGGAATGTGACTATTTCAGTAGATGCAGAAACAAACCACTTAATAAATTTCAAGGCATTTTAAGTTTCCATTTAAGTTTATTTACGTAATCTCTACACCCAATGTGGGGCTCAAACTCATGGCCCCAGGATCATGAGTCACAGGCTGTTCTGACTGAGCCAGCCAGGTGTCCCAAAACATTTCTGATAAAAACTTAAATAGCTGGGGCACCTGGGTGGCTCAGTCGTTAAGCGTCTGCCTTCAGCTCAGGTCATGATCCCAGGGTCCTGGGATGGAGCCCTACATTGGGCTCCCTGCTCCGCGGGAAGCCTCTTTCTCCCTCGCCCTCTCCCCCTGCTTATGATCCTGCTCTCACTGTGTCTCTCTCTGTCAAATAAATAGGTAAAATCTTAAAAAAAAAACAAACAACTAAAATAGTTATCTTAAAGGCTACGACAAACATGGTGCTGCAGTGGAGAAGGTTTCTATACATTCCATGCAATACTGGGACCCATACAAGAATGCTCACTTCTATCACTACTGTTTAATGTATACTAGAGGTCCTAGCAATCAAGTAAACATGGTAAATAGATGCATAAGTGTTGAAAAAGAACAAAGTGGTATTATTTACAGCTGACAAATCATTTACATAGAATTTACAGTTCCATTTACAATAGGATCAATAGGTAAACCAGTAGATCTAATGAGAAAGGAAGAATTTTGCCACTGCCAGAGAATGCTAGAAATGTAATAAAATATAAAACAGAATTTATAACAACTAAAAATAGGAATTAATCTAAGAGAATATACCAGACTTCCATGGTAAAAATTTGTGACTCCATTAAAGAACAAAAAAGATGACCTGAATAAACTGATGTAGCATTTTTTTTAAGATTTTATTTAATTTATTTGACAGAGGAAGAGGCAGAGAGAGAGAGGGAACACAAGCAGGAGGAGTGGGAGAGGGAGAAGCAGGCCTCCCGCGGAGCAGGGAGCCTGATGCGATGCGGGGCTCCATCCCAGGACCCTGGGATCATGACCTGAGCCGAAGGCAGATGCTTAATGACTGAGCCACCCAGGTGCCCCCTGATGTAGCATTTTTATGCACGGGAGAACATCACAAGAATGTCTGTTTTCCCTAATTGCAAATTCACTCAAAATCCCATCAAAATGTTTGGAGCAACGTAATGTATTTATACTAAAATGTATATGGAGGAACCAATGTCCACAAATAACTCAGTTGGTTTGAAAAATAATAGAGGTTACCTGTCCTCCAAGACAGTAAGATGCTGCAAAGCCAGAGGATTAGAACTGTTGTGATATAAAGGAGGAACCGTAAACCAGAGGGGGAGATGATTTATGAAGCAGGGTGAAGTGGGAAAGCAGGGATTTTAATATATATGGAGAAATACAAAGTTGGAAATACCTCTTATCATATACGAAGGTTAACCCTGGATTCATCCTTCATTCAAGAAATATTTATTGAACAGCAACTATATGTGAAGGGCTTTTCCAGATACTGGGAATGTGTCCGTGAAAAATGCAAAAATCCTTGCCGTCACTGGAACCTTAACTGCAGGGAGTAAATGTACAAAAACCAGGCAGAGAAAATGTAGGAGACTTTTTCATGATCTTGGAGTGGGGAAGGGCTTATTAAACAAGAGTCAAAAAGCACTTGATGGGTTTGACTGTCATCATTAAACATGAACATACTTTATGACCCTATGGCTCAGAGAAATTCTCTTACATTTCCATAGGGAGATTCATTCAAATTTGCTCTTCGTAGTGTTGTTTCTGGAACCAACCTAGATGTCTATCTCTTTAGGAAAGGATAAGCAAACTGTGGTGGAAGGACACTACGGAATACTGTGCATCATTAAGATACTGAATTACATTCAACAATATAGATTAGAACCAAACTGGGTATTGAGCGAAAAAAGTAATAACATAATTGGAAGAATAGAATATTGTGTACGTAAATATAAAAGATAATATATTCACAACCAATGCTGTACATTCTACAAGGGTGCATACATGTCAAGGGCATATACCAAATACTAGTGAGCTGCTTCCTATGGGGGACGATATGAACATTGGAATGAGAATTAGGGACAAGGGGAATAAAGATGAAATAAAACCGAAGAAAGGTCTTGTATGGATTAATGGTGATAATGAGTTAAGAACTAAGGAATAATCTCAACTCTCCATACTTAAGTCCAAAAGAAAGAGAGTGGGAGAGATTCCCACTGGAATTGTGAAAAGATGGCGGTAGGATCCAATGGTCCCTAAATTGGAAGGTACCTTAGCAGGCAGGCAGTCTAATTTCTGCATCTCTCCCATATCACCCTCCACTTAAACTACAACACAGGGCAAGCTGTTCGTGTAAAGATCGCTCTCGTGGGTTCAGAGTTCTTCCTGATGTATGGCTAAAACTTCCTATAAACACCCAGCCACTGGTGTGAGTTCTGCGGTCTGGCATTGTACCCTCCATCACAGAAGAGCACCCCAGATACTTGATACACCTGCTGTTGTAGTTTGTTACATCTTCCCTCTTCCAGTCCCACATGCCCAGATCTTTTAGCTGTTCTTCCCATGACCTGTTCAGAGTCTTCTAAAAAACTTCAGTGATTCATAGCATGACATCAACATCAGCTATTAAATGTGGCTTGCTCGTTTTGAGAAGTGTGCTGAAATCCCACTGGGGACCAAGCATCGTGTAAGGGGCTATGCATGGGTGCTCAGAAAAAGGAAGTCACTTTTATCAGAGTTACGATTGAAAGGTCTTGAACTCATAGTCTTGTTCTACTGGATTTTGAAATGTCTAAAGCTCAAATAAATCTCTGCTATCTGGAATGAGAGACTACATTTTATATATTGATTTATCCAGTCATCTGTCCAAGAAATAAATATATTTTCACTGGCACTGAATATATTTCCTGTACCAAAGGTTGCTGTGGACTCTGGAAACTGGACCATGCTTCTTTGTACCATGGGTATAGAAGCAAAGACCAGGGACCCAACCCCAGGGAGCAGGCTTGCTTCCGGTCTCCCTTACTGAACCAACCAGAAGGCTTTAGCTCCCTCAGCTCTCTGAATCTGGTGGCTGCATTTCACTTCTTACCGACTTGGTAGTAGTGACCCAAGAACTCAAAATGGCTCACACTTTGGGACTCCAACCACAACGTCTGTTCATGTTGTCTGGAAATCTAGAGTTCCTCTCTTTAATAACTTTGGAAGATAAGTCCAGGAGGGTAAAATGAATCACTATGGTTTGAAGATAGGTAAAAGAATGGGCATAGAATTTGGAACATTCCACACTAATCAGGTCTTAATTAAAATGTTTAACTAGCAGAAAAATGCAAAGGACTTAGAACAAATTCAACAAATCCTTCGGGAATGTGTTTCCAGTCAAAATCCTGTGAATGGGCACAGCTCTATGCAGCACACGTTTCCACACCGGGGGATATGAGGGAACCCAACCATGCTTCGGTGGCACTTAATATCTAGATGGGAAAAGGAACCACACAAAGGAGAATATCTTTAAGATGCCCACAGATATCACTGCGGTACAGAACTATATCCATGCTGCTGAAGTGGTTGGTGCATATATGAAATTGGGCAAAACCACTGAGTAAGTGTCTCCGTGGATGTGTCTGGCAGGAAAATCAAGATCAGTAAGAAGGAGAAGAGCTAGAATGCTGGGGCGAAGGACAGGTGGGAGGTCAGGGCCCTGCCATGACCAACACCAGGACAGGCAGGTGCAGAGACCATGTTGGCTGTTTGGGAGGCTAGGACTCAGACCTCTTGCCACTCCCATGTACAGCCCCATGACCCCAGGACTCCTCCACTCCACCCGACACATCCCGGCTCAGCAGAGAGGCAGGAACATGTGTTTGTTTTCCAGATGAAGAAGTGGAGACCCCAGACAGGGCAAGAGGTTTCTCCAAAGTCACATAGCCACAGGACGGGAACTCGGGCTCCTAACTCATGGCCAAGTGTGCTCTCTTCTGTATGAAGCTGTGCCTCCGATCGCTGGTCTGCAGGAGGGCGTCAACCATGGAGAATAGGCTCAGGCTGTCCTATTCCAAGCAAGAAGAGTGAGAGGGGGCAAAGGAGTTTCAAAGCTGTTCATGGTGTATGCATGGGAGGCAGGGATTCGGGGAACAATTTCTCTGAGGCTGGTGGACAGAATGTCTTCAGTCACCCAGACCAGGAGAGTCGGAATTGTCCCCTAGAGTTCAGTCTTCCAGAACCACACCTGCAGGAGAAGCAGGGTTGCCAGTGAGAGCTGTCACCCCATCTCTTCTCTAATCGCTTTGTTCAGTCTCCTTGTCTTCAAGGCAAGACCTCCACATAGTCGCTGTTACTGTTCTCTGGGGGGAAAAAAGCAGAAGACTAGCCATGAGGCTCAACATCCGGGAGTCACACGGACCAACCTCACTCAAGGGAAAGAAGACCCCTTCCCCAGGCAAGGAGGACCTCAATGCTACATCATAGTGACATCTTCAGGGGCGGGTGTATCACAGGGAGCTCCCCAGGCAAAATAGGGGGTCTCTTTATAAGTTTAGGCATCCGAGTTTCCCGCTCCAGCAGAAAACCTGTGTCTCCCTCAGAGTGAGAACATCTGAGGCTTATTCTTTTTTTTTTTTAAGATTTTATTTATTTATTTGAGAGAGAGAGAATGAGAGAGAGAGAGAGCACAAGAGGGAAGAGGGTCAGAGGGAGAAGCATACTCCCTGCTGAGCAGGGAGCCCGATGCGGGACTCGATCTTGGGACTCCAGGATCATGACCTGAGCCGAAGGCAGTCGCTTAACCAACTGAGCCACCCAGGCGCCCCATCTGAAGGGGAGGAAGCCAGTGAGCTGAGGAGAAGATGTCTCCCCTTTGGCAGCTGAAGACTTGGGGTTACCTACCAGGGCTAATCAAGCATGGGCAACTGGAGTGGTAAGACTCCCGCCCAGTTCTTGGGAAAGATCTTGAAAGGACCCTCCCCTTGGCATTTGTGATTATTTTATCATTGCTGGACAGATAATGGCCACCGCCCCCACCACCCTTTGCAACTCATCTGGGTTTTCCTAAGGACTGCAGTGCACAATGTTCCTGGGTTTCTAGCTCTGCCCCTTTTTGTGCTTTTGTTCCTGTAAGTTTCTGTGGAATGTGGCCATGGGATTACACCTGTAGCTAAATCTATAGGAAGTGACTTTGTGTGTACATGGGTGCACAGACCTTGGCAGGGGGCAGGGGGCAGGGGGCAGGGGAAGGGTTGTTATTCTCATCATTAAAAACCCATGCTTAGTTTTGCTGGGAGGTGAGAAGCTTGCCCTGGCGGCCCGGAGGGTGACTTAAGTAGACAGTAGAATGTGGGGTGATTGCAGCCTCCCTGAAACTCTGCCCTCTGCCCTCTGCCCTCTGCCCTCTGCCCTTCTCCCTAGCTAGCGTGTCTCCCCTCAGTGCCCTCCACCCGGCCACTGATAACTGAAATCCCTCTGCTTGGGAATGTGGCCCTACGTGCCACCATGGGAAAACAGGAGTAAACCATAAATGTCTCAGGAAATCCGTGTTCAATTCAAACCATGTTGTAACTGACAAATACTAGAGGGATGATTTTCTGAGGGCAGATTTCAAGGGGAGTGGGTAAGCAATTGTGGCTGCTAGTGATATGATTTGAGAAGGCGTCGGCGTGGATTCTCTGCACTCAAATTTGGCACTGGCCATCTCTCATTTTCCACCATGGCTTAATTCTGTTCAGGATATATCTGGAATAATTTGTCCCCTAACACTAAATAAATGAATGTTCAGCAAATATTGAGCAAAATGTACCAGTATGGGCCTTGGGGAAGGCATCGAAGCAATTTTCTCATTTGAAAATTTTGCCTGCTTGTCCATCTATTCCCAAACCTGTGGTTCGCACAAGGTCACAGGATGAGTGTGAGGTCAGCTCTCCCAGAATGCCCCAGGGACCACTCCTGCTCTCCTTACTAGCAAGGCAGAGCGCTCCGTGCGTTGGCCACCTTCCAGGGCTCAAAGACACTGCTTCCCAACAAGACTGATGTTGCTTTTTTGTAGGCGAAGTCTTTTAGAGATAACACGACAGAACAGGGTGTGTATCTGTATAAATTCTACAAAGTCGGCCAGTGGAAGAAATGGGACTAAGGTTCCTTTCTGATCCCCACGTAAGAGTTTTTACCATAAACACCATCCAGCTTTATCTGTGATCGTCTCCATCTCGGGCAGAAGCTGGCTTGCTTTATCGGATGTACAAGGTGAACCACCAGCCCTTGATTTGGTTTCTCAAATGTGGAGATCAATTCCTTTAGGTTTGAGAAGATCTGTTTGGGAGCACCTTCTACGGTCTGCCAAAATACAAGGTACTCATCACCATCCACTGTATGTGCAATGTGACACCTCAAAGCAGTGGTTTGAGCCCTCAGAGCAAGGCTGTCTCTCCCTCTGCGTGTCGCTTCCCCTGTATTAAGGAATTATCACAATCTCCCAAAGCATGCATGACAAAGGAAGGAGTTCATATAAGTTGCTTTTTAGAAAATATTTTATGTTGAAATAATTTCAGACTTGAAGAAAAGTTGAAAAAATACTTTAAAAATTTTTATATATATCCTTCACCCATAACCCAAATGTTTTTTTAATTCTTTTTTTAAAATTTTATTTATTTGGCACAGAGAGAGAGAGAGAGAGAGAGCCCAAGCAGGGGAAGCGGCCTGCAGAGGGAGAGGGAGAAGCCCAACACGGGGCTCAGTCCCAGGACCCTGAGATCATGACCTGAGCCGAAGGCAGACGCTTAACCAACTGAGCCACCCAGGCACCTCTCACACCCCAAATGTTAACATTTATATTGTACATATTTGCTTTTCATTTTCTTTTTCTAAATGTACATGTATATACATGTACGATTATAGGGATACACATACATATTCTTTTTAAAAAATATTTTGAGATTAAGTGTGGACATGAGAGCTCTTTAACCCTAAATAATATATCAATATTTCCCAAAAAGCAAGAACATTATAGATCCACACTGCAGTGATTAAAATGAGGAAATTAATCTTGATGTAGTACTACTTACTAATCTACAGAGCTTATTCAAATTTTGTCAGTTTGTCCTTTGTAATGTCCTTTACAAGAAAAGAAAAATTACACACACACACACACACACACACAGAGGTATACTTAAACACATATGTGTGTGATGTGTGTGTATGTGTGTGTGTGCTTGGGGATCACGGTATATTCTAATTTCTTTCAGATATTCACAATGAACATTAGCATATTGAAGATTCTGAGAAATCTGGCAGTGAAAAATCTGCTTAACCTTGTCTGCAAGTGTTTCAAAAAGATTATTTCAGGATTCTTTGCTAGTAAAGATTCAGTTAATATTATACTCTACTTCCTAAGCCAGAGAAATTATTTCAAAACAAAAAGCGTTTTCTGCTTAATGCTCAGTAAACCAGAAAAATTAAAGAAACCCTTAAGACTGCCCACTGACTGATGCTTCCCTTTATATTTTCATACAATCGTGGAGCTCACTTGTCTTCCTACGCGTTCGGACTGCTCCCCACCTTCCCGTTCCATCCCGCCCTGGTCACTGTGTGTCTTCTAATTGGATGGTGACCTCGCCTGGAGTCCAGCCTGGTGCATTTGACCATTGGGGGAACCAGGGTCTCCACGTCTGAATAACAGCCTTGAATATTCAAAAACTCTCCCTATTTCCCTCAGAGAAAGACACGGTTTACTATGGATCTGACTCTAACTCTGCATGTTGCTTCCCTTTTTAAAATGCCTCTCTGCGGCCACATCTCAGCTTCAAGAGATGATCTCAGGTTCTTCTCCCCCAGTCTTTTGTTACAGGAGTTCTTGTACGTTCTTACCTGTATATTGTAAAACCCATGTCTCTCTTTGAAGATTCGGTATGTGTAGACGAAATTTTTAAACCTGTGGAAAGATGACTGTGTGAATCGTAATGTTCTCATATGCAAAACCAGGTCTCTTCTACCCACCACTCTATTTTCTGCACAATGCCTTTGGCAATCTTGGGTCCCCAAAAGAAACTGATCATTTTCAGGCATTCTCATCTGTGGGAATTTGCAAGAGACAAAGGCTTGGAAACCGGAACACTTATTATGATGCTGGAAGTCTGGGCTTGTAGCAAAGAGGATAAGGAGAGAGAATTTACTATTTCCATGGTCTTGGCACTTCTCTCTAGTTTTTTCACTTAGCTCTAAGTTGATACAACATAAAAAAACACCATTGAGCCATTCCTGTATTGTTTACTAAATGATGTGTCATTGAACTTAGTTAGAGATAGTTAGTGTTAATGAAAAAAGAGAACGTTGGGAATTTCGCCCAAGGAAATGATGTATTGTGCTCTTGTTCTTCATTGGAACTGGCTCCACTGGCTAAGTAATCTAACCAGAATCTAGATAATAGACCCACTCTAGCAATTTCCAAAGCAAGACATAACATTAATACGTTACTGTATCTCTCCAATTCCAAGATGCCATTAATTGTAAGGCATCAATTTAACAATAGCTTCCCCAGGAGGAAAATGCATACATTAAATGTCTCTATCAACTGTTTAACATGTTCTGATTCCCCAGAAATATTAAAGTGTAAAAAAAGAGAGAATGAAAGACATTGACATGAGGCTCAGATTACCTAATGATCCCTCCCACCCTGGGGCTTGCACCTATGCCAAAGAATCATTTGACTGAACCGGAAATTTGGAAAGCAACTTAGACCTTTAAGGTACAGAAGATTTGATCACTGATTGTCAGGAGGCTTTGGCAATTGACTTCAAATCCCAATCCTTTTTGTGGGGGTTCCTGAGGCCAGAATGAGCCAGTGGGTGTCCCCAAATCACATCGCAAGCAACAAAATATTTCACATGAGTTTTTGTCCACATGTGACAAAGTATCCCATATCTGGGAAGAGGTCTCAAATATTTCTTTTCAGGGGCGCCTTGGTGGCTCTGTCGTTAAGCCTCTGCCTTCTGCTCAGGTCATGATCCCAGGGTCCTGGGATCAAGCCCCGCATAGGGCTCTCTGCTCAGCAGGAAGCCCGCTTCTCCCTCTCCCACTCCCCCTGCTTGTGCTCTCTCTCTGTCAAATAAATAAATAAAATCTTTATAAAAAAATTTCTTTCACAGAGGTATCATTCAAATCGGGATCCAAACGAGGTCCATGCATTGCATTTGTCTGATCATATAGTTCTTCGAAACCCAACGATCATATGTTAAATTCTTAAATGACTTCATTTTTAGTTATGTTGTTGTATTATCAGCTAAGAAAATCTCCACCAGAGGAGTATGAAAGATTAAAACAAATGGAGCTTCTATGTTAACTAGTCTAAAAGCCATATACTTCAAGTTCTAAAGACAGACATTGCTCAAATATGATCTTTTTCTTTTTTTAAAAAATATTTCATTTATTTATTTGAGAATGAGAGATTTAGGCTTATAACTTTGAACTTGTGGTTGCCCGTAACTGCAACCCTTTCATGCTATGAATTTCACACATCCCACTCCCAGATCCTTTCCTCTATTCGCTGACCCCATCAGTCCCTTGACCACAGAGCCTCCAGTCCTCTGGCCTTACCACTTTCCAGTGTTCCCATTCACCTGTCTTCGTTCCCTTGGGGTGCCGACTGGTCTCACTTCCAACTGATGACCACAGAGCTCCAGTGGGCTCTTGGTGCTCCAGGCAATCAGTGATTTCCCCGTTCCCTCAATAGTGATTGTACACTGTCGCCTTTCTTTAGACGCCCCAAACACTTCACCTCACTGATAACTTCACAGAGAATCAAGCAGTCAGAAGAGAATTCCCAGGCTCTGAGCTGCCACAGCTCTTCGCCTGTGGTCTCCCATCCTCAGCTTTGTAACCATGCACCAACTTTGCACGCCACTCTCTGGTACAAATCCCTCTTCCACTGGGGGCCACCCATTGTCATCTATTCAAGGACATAGTTCTAGCAATTTTTTCCTCTCTCTCTCTCTGAGGTCATAAATTATTATTCTTTACACGACAGCCAGGGTGGCCCTTATTTAAAAATGAGAAACAGATGTTTTTTTGACTTAGGTTTATTAACTTTTCCCACTTGTTCAAAAGATTTTCCCATACAGATAAATAGCATAAATATTTGTAATCTACTTGCAATCAATACGCTTTTGATTTCAGCCTAATGTATTTTGTCACTGATTCTCATTTCTTCTAATATTTAATAAACGGCTTTAAGTTGTGTGCCCCCAAAAATGTGAATCAGGTCATGTCCCTCCTCTGCACAAAAATATGCTCAATTTTTTTTTTTTAAGTTTTACTTGTAAGTAACCTCTACACCCAACACAGGACTCAAACTCATAACCCTGAGATCAAGAGTTGCATGTTCTTCCAATTGAGCCAGCCCAAGCACCCCTAAATCTGGTCAATTTCGAATAAGAAAAATAGGATTGGGGTGTGTGTGTGGCAGATGGCGGGGGGTGTTTCTGTATTAACAGGTCTCAAATCTTCTTATAAAGCTATAAATAAGACAGTGAGAACCGGTTCTAGGGTAGAAAAGATATTAATGTGATAAAATAGAGAGCCTAGAAACAGACCCATACGTGTCTGAAAACTTGGTATATGACAGAGCTAGCACAGCAGATCAGTGAGGACGGATGGACTATTTGTTAAATAATAATGGTAATGTCTTAATGTGGAAATATATAAAATCGGATCCCTACTTCACATTCTAATTGAAGACCTAACCGTGAATCAACAAAACAGTGAGCTTAGGGAAAAGTAAGTGTAAGTGAACAACTTGAGTTAAGGAAGGAGCTCTTACATCACAAAAAGTACAAGCCCTAAGAAAAGATTAATAAACTTACTATATTAAAATTAAAACTTCCAATTGTCAAAATACATTATTAACAGAGTGAGAAAGTCCACAGACGGGGAGAAGTTCACCGTAGCATTACTGTATGACAAGAACACTAATGTACCATTAAAAAAAGGCTAATGAAATGTCCACTAAGCATTTGAAGAGATGTTTTACTTCACTGTCAATCAGGGAAATACAAATTAAACCACAATTAAATGTCATTTCATACCAGATTGGCAAAGACATGAGAGTTTACTTATGGAAAATATTGGCCGGGATGTAAAGCTATAGGAAGTTCTACCTACAACTAGTGGGGATGTAATTAGATACTAATGTCTTGGAGAACAATTTGGCAAAGCTCACTAACGCTGAAATGCATACAATCTGTAAACCCAAATGTGCACTTTTTAAGATTGGCAATATTGGCACAAAACTGACAATGCCAATATTATATTATTTATTAAAAAAGCAAAGATCACAGAAACTAAATATTTGATACATTTAAACACATTTACAATCTAAAAAATCATCACTATATTATAAAATATTAAGTAAAAGTATAAATTAAGGAAAATACATAAGAGAAATACATATTTTCTAATATACACTATCATCAGATTAGATTAATTGGGGCACCTGGGTGGCTCAGTCAGTTCAGCATCCGACTCTCGGTTTCGGCTCAGGTAGTGAGCTCAGAGTCCTGGGATTAGAGCCCCACGTCAGGCTCTGAGCCCAGCACAGAGTCTGCTTAAGATTCTATTCTCTCTTCCTCTCCCGCTGCCCCTCCCCCTCCCTCTCTTTCCCTCAAATAAATAAATAATAAATAAAATTAATTAACTGACATACAGTATTCAAAAAACCAAATGCTCCAAATCTTATTAAATTTTCGTTAATAATGAAAAATTTAAAGTAAAATAGGTCTTTTTAGTACATTTTCGACGTGAAAAAAGGGAGGGAGAGAGGTAGAGATGAAGGGAGGGGGAGGGAAGAAGGCAGGGAGGGAAGGTGAATCAGTAGGGTCATCACTGAGTTCTGAGGATTTTTTATGCAAACGTTTCCATCCACTGGAAAAGCGTTATCTGTTGACACGGTTGGGGAATGCTAAGGGCATAAAATTTAAGTTAATTCTGAATAGTTGTCTTCGATTTGTTCGCCTTCAAACAATCTCATCCCTTGTTCTGCAACTTTAAAAAAATCTGTTTTGGGCGCCTGGGTGGCTCAGTTGGTTAGGCGACTGCCTTAGGCTCAGGTCATGATCCTGGAGTCCCAAGATCGAGTCCCGCATCGGGCTCCCCGCTCAGCGGGGAGTCTGCTTCTCCCTCTGACCCTCCCCCCTCTCATGTGCTCTCTCTCTCTCACTCTCTCTCTCAAATAAACAAATAGAATCTTAAAAAAAAGTTAAAAAATCTGTTTTGAACCTTTTGGATCTTTATAGGAGTTGATATCTTTACTGAACGTAGAGTTTGCCACTTAAGCCGTTACTAATGTCAGTGGTTACGTTTCTAAGATTCTACATGCTCACTGACCGCTCTGAAATGGTCTTTATCCGAACACAAAAACAAACGGTTGAAAGGGCTCAGTTTTAATTCCAGTGTAGTTGACATACAGTGTTGTATTAGGTTCAGGTGCACCATAGAGTGCTCCAGCACGCCCGTGCCTCACCTGGTGCTCATCACAAGAGCCCTCCTTAATGCCCATCACCCGTTCTCCCCATCCCCCCACCCACTTCCCCTCTGGTGACCAGCAGTGTATTCTCTAGAGTTAAGAGCCTGTTTCTTGGTTTGTCTCTTTTTTCCCTTGTTTTGTTTCCTAAACTCCACATACGAATGAATTGAAATCATTTGCCCACAAGACTGGTCGCAGATATTCATGCCAATTTCAACTATAATCGATCTGGCTGAGTAGACAGATTGTAATGTCTCCCTGGAACGGAATACTGCTCAGCAATGAAAGGACTGAACTCTGGTGCACGGAACTATACGGATGAATCTCAACGTAATTATTCCGGACGAAAGAAGTCAGACAAAAAGGGCTACTACTTTCTGATTTGATTTACATTAAATTCTGGGAAATACATAGAC